CAGATTTTCAGCTGTGTCAAAACATATGCAACAGGTGACTCTCCTTCTGACATAAGCAATATTTAACTGGGTCTTTTAAAAAGAACAAAAACATACTTTTATTTGAAAATAACAGTAACATAAACTTATAAGATATAATTACTGCATTATTACATACTTACATAGTATACTTTTACATTATATAACAATATACATTTAATGGATAGTTTATTATTCTACTCTTAGCCTTGTTCTTCAAATACGCCTGGAAAAGAATTTTGGGCAAATTTGTAAGTGGAAATATTTAAATATTCCATTACTTGATAGTATTGAAAAATGTGTGTTTGGCTATTATGGAAATGCAAAATAAAACTCCCCAAATGTAGTATAGAAGATATACACATCTATAATATACAAAAGGATTAGGGAATACTTCTTCCCCTTCTTCCTTTATCCTGAGAGAAGAGCCAGTGAGCTTAAGCTTTAATTTTAAACAGATTAGAAAAAGGAATCTTATATATCTACTAAATTAAAAAGTTCTATTAGTAACTACCTAAGTTTTTAAGTCACTGTTTCCTAGCTACTTCAATAGAGTCAGCAGTCATAGATCCAACTCCAACTCCAAGACTGGAACGTCGTAATGACAGTTCCAAGGCAGAAATTTGACGTAACTCTTTGCGACACAACTTTACAGGTGTGACACCATGAATCTGTCCCACATTTCTCACTGGCTGAACTTGGGGTGATGGTTGACTGTGAGATTTTGTAAACTGATTTTCATCTAGCTCTGTTTTATCCTCATTGCTTACCAAATGCCCACTAGTGGGTGCTAAAGGGCTACAAATTGGAGGTAATTCTGGACCATCTTCCCAGAGCTTCTGAGGATTTGGTTGTGTTCTTAAGCTACTTGCTGAACAGTCTAATTCTCTTTCCTTTCCACTTAATTTCATACTTTGAGTTCTAGATGCCCATTTTAATTCTTCTGAAACCATGCCTGCTTCTCCTTCGTTCAGGACTCCATCTCCAGCATCATGATCTAAAAGTAATTCAACAAGGCAAAAAAAAAAAGAAAAAATTAGAGATTTCCTCAAAAGCAGGTATTTTAATATCCTAACATAACTATATTATCACTCAATATAAATTATGTCTTTCAGCTTTTGTTAAAAGACGTTTGTTAGACAACTAAAAAGTGTGAATATGAATTATTCTTACTTAGAGGCATCTTGCATATGAATAAATGAGAACTTTTCATTCCTGGAACAAAGTTGAGGAATAGTCTTCTAATGATTTTGGTACTCCCTGGAAACACAGGGGTGCTTTGGGCCTCTCCAGTGCCCTTCCACGCCTGCCCTTCCCTGGGCTTGGCACTGGTGAATCCCATTCCATATCCTGGCTAAGTAAAGCCAGCACCTGAGAATACTGGCTCTGCCCCCTATCTCCAGTGACTTCTGGGACTTAGCATTATATGTGTGGAAAACTAGTCTTGATTAGCACTCCCAGTATGATAGCTGGGTTCTGCTCTCTGAATGTACTCTGGGTGCCACCATCAACATGGAGATGGGAGGATACCCCCTCAATGGGGGACACCCTGCTGGAACAAATCATAGAGTCATCTCATAGCAAAGACAAAAACTTGCTTAAGCAAAGTCCATGTAGGTACTGGTCCTAAAACAATAAAAAATGCCAAGCTTAACATAGGTTGAAACATGATTAGTATACTTCTAGCCCTACAAATACCAAGTTTAAAAACAGAAGTTGCAGCATGGCAGCTCCCAGGCCAAATGTGGCCCACAGACAGGTTTTTACTTAGCCTGGGAATACTTAAAATAATATATGGCCCAAAATTTAAAAATTGTAAAATTTCATATAGAAATACATACTTCACCATTTCTAGAAAAAAATAAGAACTGACAATTTCTGCCTGGCAACCGCAACTGGAGCAGCGTTGCCCCTGCCCGCNTAACTAATAGAGTTTAAATTTTTCAACAGTCCTAAGTATAACATTTTTTAATGTTTAGTTTTCTACACTTCGTTGTGAATGGTTTTGTTCCTTGGGCATATAAGGATATTGTTCTTTATAACAGTCTGTGAGATTATTGTATTTTTCTTTTAAGGCGCTATAGAGATAACTCAGTAGAGCTGTGTGTAACAATTTACCATTAGAACCTAATACCTAAGTCTTAGTCAATAATTCAATTAAATTACACTGCTAGCATTTCAAATAGTGGCAATTCTGTTAATTCATTGTGGAAATCCCTAGGAAAAAATATTAAGAGAGACACGAACTATAGAGAATATCAAAAGCCAATATCATAACATTAAGTTTTCTGAGCTTTCTATAATTTCTCTTGTTCTAATTACCTCCATGTTGGGATCAACATGAAGGTCATTATAAAAACCAAACACCGTTCTAATATGTGGTGCCATGTATGTGCTGCATTTCAAGAGCAAGGAATGGAAGCAGTCACCCCTAGTACAGGAAATAAGGGACACACTGTTTGTAGAGGGTTTAAAAACAGTCCAACTTAACGAAAAATCATCTGCTTTTTTTATTGTTGGCATCGAGGTAAACAAAGAAGGTGATAAAATACTCTTCCCATTGGTCAGATTCTCCCAGTACCCCACTCTTTGAACTACTGCCCCTATGAGCTCAAAAATACTACATACTCAAAGCATTTGAGATATTTATTGTAGAAGGATCCCATTCCCACTTTTATTTTCAATTTTTAAAAGTATAAATATAGAAGAATGAGTTATCAGTAGTAATGAAGGCATCCTACAGCCTAAGTTTAAGTAAAATATACATAATGAATATTTTTTAAAATTCCAATGAAGAGAGCAATTGTGGACATGAACTTACAGATACTGCAGTCATTGAGCTTTCACATATTGATACTTCAGTGTTTTTAAAAGTCACAAGTATTTGCCTAAGGAAATAACTGAGAGAGCACAACATGTCACACTTGCATTTAATGCATAAGAATTTGTGGTGTTTATAGAACCAAACTCCCACTAAGGATTTGACTCAATTCATTCTAAGACTTAGTATAAGACTTTTATTTTTTTTTTCATATAAGACACCCATTGTTAAATAAGGATTTATCACTTATTGACCTGGACTAATACAAACAAGCCAATTGCTAGTGACAATAAAGTCCATATTATTGTAGATTATACGTGTTTTAGCTGACTCCTCAGACTCTAAGTTCATAAAGATAAGAAGAATTGAGGGACCAAAAAAACAAATAAAATGAAAACAAAAACAAAAAACCATTAGCGAAAGAAAACAAACATTAAAGCACAAAAGCACCTTCACTGATGTTCTCATTACCCATAGCTGCCCATATTTATAGAATTCTCCAAACACTGTGATCTGTAACACTCTGGAGTTAGGGAAGGAACTAGTACTTTTAGGAGGCAAAATGTTCCTATCAAATGCTCTGTTATAGTTGGAAAAAAAAACACATAATCAACAAAAAAAGAAAACCACAAACATTTTATAAATATGCAAAAAGGCAGACACATGACAAAATGTTTAGACTAAGGTAAGCATGTGAAAGAGTAAAACTTAGTAATAGTATATGTAAAAAATAGCTTACTTACCTTGGTGAGATGCCTTGATTTTTCTTTGTAAGAGCACTGACTAAACTAGAATGATAAGAGGTTCACTTCTAGAATATATTATTCAGGATATTATATGTGGGTGTATGTATGTGAAATCTATCATAGCATTAAAGGATATATGTTTAACCAGAATGAAGAAAAAAAACTGTATCTCTTATTTAGAATTCAGTTCACATTTGCATTATCAAACCTAATTATTGTTGGTTTGATATAAATGTTTTCTTCCTTTGTTAGTGAGTTGGCTTTCAGAAAATGTGTCTATATTTCCACAGGTAAAACAAATATGTGTCAATATCTTAGGCAAGCAGGATTCCAGTGTCAGAATACATTCTTACATGAATTATTTCTAAATCATTGCTTACTCTTATAAGGAATATACAATTAGGACATTTATTAATAAATACGTAATTGCTGTGCTTTGTTAAGGCATTGGCCTCTTGCCATTATATATTTATATACACATTATATATGACATACATTAAATATATATCATATAAACCAAAGGCAAAAAAAGGAAGGAAGCTTGCTTAAAACCAGGATCTGACTTCACATAGTCCCTATTAAAAATAAAATTTCCAATGTAGTTTGTAAATACATTGTTTGAAGCAGTTTCTCATTTGGCCAATGTTAAAAATTGTCATTCAGTTCCCAGGTAGGTCCACAGAAGTCTATTTAACCCATAATTTAAATGAATTTTAGTACCATGCTTAAGAGATATAGAAACTATTCACCAATTTAGAAGTTTGTGTTGGTTTGGTTTTCTTTTCCTATAAGAACTGTTTTGTTTTTTAAGAACTGGTTTTTAGCAGTGGGACGAAGGAACCCTACTCCCTACTCCTTAAGGACTACAAACTAGAAACAGGAAATGTTAGGTCTTTGAGCACAGGGTGACAGTTTGGGTCTTAGGTAAGATGGTCAGGGTCAACAGCAACAGAGAAAAGGACAAAAGAAAAAATCATCAGACAAGAAAAAAATGGAGTCAGCAAGCAAGTTGGGTGACTCTAATTGAGTAGGCATCCGTAAGTCAGGGTGGGCGTGCTATTAGCTCCACTCAAACATTAATTTAAGAAACAACTTCATTTTACAAGTGAAAGTTTGGAAAAGTAACAAAAATAACATAAGTTTAAAAAGTAACAAAATACCTTCAGTCATCATAAGGGGATGTTTTTTTGTGATTGATAAATATGATGCAAAAGTACAAACTGTATGTTGGGCAAATCAATGTTTAGTTCTTAATTTCAAATGAAGTTTATATAATAAGGTTTAGATCAAAAAAATCTTGAAGAAAAATTTTCATTTATATACTTACAGCCCCATTGTAGTCTGGCCTACCTGTGTGCAAAGCCTGAGTAAGCACACTGTAGAGAAAAACCTCAGATTAATCCCATCAGATTATTAGCGAAAGATCCTCTGTCTAGACTTCAACCTTTATAGGTATACTCCATGCAACCATATATCTTTTCCTTGA